TTTAAAGGGCAGTGAAATACATGTATTTTAGTGATTTTATGTATAGAAGGATGACTTGCTAGTGAAGGTCAACTTCTGATTCTTCTAGAGGATAATATAGTATATTTTGATAAGAAGTTAGAAATTTGCCTTTGACTATACTCTTTATATTTTTGGAATACATATTTAAAAGATGAACATCTAAAATAAGAGACAGAAAATAATAAAAAAAATAGTTAGCAATAACCTAGTACTTGAATATTGTCACTGATTACTCTTTCAATTTCTCTATGAGATAACATGATTTTCAAAGATAAACATGCCCACAGGTAAATTGCTAAGTGATCTGTGGCCTCCATCAGACTCCTTCTAGACACATTAGATGTGTGAGGTCCTTTGAGTGTGTAGGGTTCCTACCCAGAGCATGGCATAAATCATAGGTGGGGAAACTGAGGTACAGAAGTAGCAAGACTCTCAAACAAGCAAACCCATGACAGAGCAAATACTAAAACTCAGGAGTCTTTTAAACTTGATGTTCATTTCCCTGGGTCCATAATAAACAGGTCGCCTATATCTATCTTTGTAAAAAAACAAACAAACAAACAAACAAACAAACAAACAAAAAACGAGAGAGAGAAAAAGAAGGGGAAACAAAATAAAACCAATATCCCAGATGTGAATGCTGGAGATGAAATCAATGCACGTATCAACACAACTGTGTTGAAGAACAGAATTCAGTAGTTAACATTACATAAGGAAGACGGGTCAGTAAGGAAAGTGTCTTCTTTTGAGATTTTCAACCATTTATAACCTAGGGTTTTCCCCATATTACATAATATTTTTGCTGAGTTCTTTTCAGATCTTGAATCACAATTGTTTCACAGAATCACAGAATGGTTTGCGTTGGAAGAGACCTTAAAGATCGTCTAGTCCAACTCCCCTGCCATGGGCAGGGACACCTTCAACTAAATCAGATTGCTCATAGCCCTGTCTAACCTGACCTTGAATGTTTCCAGGGATGAAGCATCTACCACCCTTCTGGGCAACCTGTTCCAGTGTTTCAACACCCTCATTGTAAAAAAATGTATTCTTTTTATCTAGTCCAAATCTACACTCTTTCAGTTTAAAACCATTACCCTTGTCCTATTGCAATAGGCCCTACTAAAGGGCCTTCCACTTCGCAACCTCACTTACCATTGTAACAGTTTTCATATCTTACCACAGAATCAAGACAAATGCTCCCATAATTACCTAAAACATGCTTCAAATGCTGCTTACTGAGTTCCATTACATAACACAATTCTTCCAGGACAAGTAAATCAAAGCCAAGAATATACAACTTCCTGTTCATGCTGAAAATATTCCTCTTTTCCTATATTAAGTCACCTTTCCAGTACTATGAATGTGTCTGTGCTTCTGTACGTGGACTAATTGGGAAGGACAGAAGAACAGCATAGCCTACCAGAAATAGTACGTATATTTGTTAGGGAAAAAACTTCATCTTGCATCTTTCTGCAAATCCTTCTACAGAAGAAAATTTGTTGATTTTCTCAGGCCTCTTTGGCACAGCGTTAACTACTTCCACAGGAACTGTCCAGCTGGGATGCCAGAGACTCATACTCACAGACTTTCAAGAAAGACTAACTCCAATACATGAAAGAGAACTTTGACTAATTTGCTCAGAGAAATGTGATGCGATAAACATGCTATTTTTTTCTGAAGACTGAGAATGTGAAACATTTTCTGCTTTGAATATCGTTACAGGAAGTAAACACAAGTCATAACTGCACTCCACTAGGAAACAATATTAGAACCATACAAATAAATGACTCTGCCAAGCAGCTGAGACTTCAATCCCTCTCCATGTTCATAAGTAAAAGAATCCATAATCTACTTTTAGTGATAGGGGAGAACAACAGGAATAAGGCAAAAGCACATCAAGGACAGGGGCTGCATAGCAGAATACACCCTAGGAAAATTTTCCTGTTCCCTCCCTCCCTGTCCCCTCAGGCCACACAGTTTCTCCTGTCAAAAGACAAAGGGCTTAAAAAAAGACACAAACTTAACAACCCCTAAATATGTTCTCCTCTAGAATTCAGAGACAAATGACTGGTATGCAAAGCAGAACTGGGTAAAAAACTGCAAATTGATGACTTTGCCAAGTGAAAACCAAGTTCACACAGTCCTTGATTTCCACCTTAGAATAGTAATAAAGCATGCCCTTGATTTATATGTACTCATAAAACATTTCAACCTTTCAGCAGTTGCATATTACAGTCTGTACAAGATGGATTCAAATTAAGCTATTAATTTCTCTGTAGCACCCAAAGTAAAGTTTATATCTTTAAACTATACTATCTTTTCTTGCAGCATTGTAGAAAGCTGAAAGCACCAATGGCATTTAGCCAATAATAAATAGTGAAATATGCTTATGACAGTTGCCTCATAAAAAGGATTCTGGCAGAGAAAAAAGTACCATGATAAGAGAAATGTAACTAATAACCAGTCATCTTTACAAGGACACAACCAGAATCCATCAAGAATCCTTGCTAATCATAGCAGTAATGTGAGAATACCAACTTTACAGGGGTCAAGTACTTAACCTGGTGTAATACAGATACAAACCAACTTTTCTCAGTCCTCCAGAAATGGAAGAGGTAGTCACCCTACTACTTAATGCTTTTAGACAGAATCATCTTCATTCTGTACCTCTCCAGTTCCCACAAAGAGGAAATGAGAGCTGAAAATAAGGTCTGAAACATGGTTCTACCTCATGAAAGCAGAATTTTGCCTGCAGCATCCCAAATTGTTCTTGATCATTAGATGTTATTAAAACCACATACTATGAGGCCACTGGGATTTCACCACAGCAGTTCTTTCGTATACTTTGAAAACAGAGAGAAACATAACATAACTTTGAGGACTGCGAAATCATGCAGTTTCAGGCAGAGAACGACAATATTTTGCTGGTAGTGCTTTGCAATTTGTGGTAAATACCCAACAGGCTCACCAATGATGCGATAAAGACTGTGTCGTCATCAACTATAAAACACATCATCTTGGTGGGTGCAAATAAACAAGCAACAGTGAACCACTACACAAAGTCTTACCAGTCCTTTCCTTCTGCAAGAAGACTGTGCTTTCTGAGCTTCTGCAAACTTTAACAGGCAAGAATACTGGAACTAAGGGGGCAACTCTACAGAACAACTAATACAATTAGGTGTGTACTCAAACACACATTAGGTGTGACAGCTGGCACAGACCCAGCAGTACAGGCAAATAGCAAGGCTATGCTCTTCCTCTTTCATAACAGGTTGTGTTCAATATATTGTGATCATTTGACAGAAAAGTTTGATTAAAGTTAAGAGAAGACTTACTCATTTGCATAACCAGTATCTATCCTACATATACTTTTTAATTCTTATCTTTTGACACCTTTTATTAGAATACTGAATTAATACAACAATCAGAGCCTACCAGGAGAACAATGAAATCCACTCATCCTTTACCTATTGAGTACAATTCAACCTGAAGGTTGAGACAACAAATGATGTAAAAAGTCATTTCATTTTTTTTGTGATATTGTCACCAAATATAATGAAGCTGAGAAACCTCAAAGCCAAGAGGTTCGAGTAGGTTCTACAGGCCTGTTTGGGTAAGAGTTTTTCTTTCCCACCTCATGGTCCACTTCCCCATCTGATCTTGCTGACAGACAAGGATTTGGTCTAATCAGTTGTGAAGCTGCTGAACAAAGTCTCAGTAGGAATAGTCAACAAGTTGCTCCTCCCTCACTCACTTATGACAGGGATCCCCAGTTCTAAGTAATACACTCCCTTATATACATTCCTCTCGGGGTCATGCATGCAGCAGCTGGTAAACGATAAAATAAGAGCTTTAATCTCATTGTCTAAGTAGCTCATTAATGCTCAAAAGGAGTTACAAGAATGAAGCCACCCTTGAAATTGAGACATAAGTACCTATAAAATTTTTCTGTGGCTATGTACAAAGGGAGGAGCAAGAAAACCTGACAATAACCATCCTGAAGAATATGAGGGGTATTATATGCTGCAGCTGCACCTCGGATCATTCTGAACTGTAACATTTATGCCTCCTTACAGCACTACTGTGGGCAAATTCATGAAGCAAAAGGTGTAATATTAAATAAATGTAGTGTGAAATAATGCCCAGAGCTAGCACTGGAATCCATGTAAATTATAGTCCATTAATAGGGATCACAATCTAAATATATTAAGTGCACTTAAAAATACAATATTTAGGCAAAATTACAGGATATAAAAATAACTCATTATATATGAAAGGCTAGCTACAAGTAAACTCTTGAAATTCATATATCTCTTGAGGGTAGTTGGCAGGCTTGTAGGAAGGATTAACAAGCACAGAAAGAACTTGCAAACTTTAGAGCTTGAGGTTGTTTTTGGAGAGAGGCTAGGAGGAAATTACATTTTGGCATATTGCTTCAAAAACATTCATTAAAATTAAAATTGAAGTTTTTTTTTTTTTTTTTCTGAAGCACTTGTTACTGTCTTTGAAGGGTGCAATACTATGGGCCTGCGAGAAGTAACTTCTACCCTGCAGTAACCACTTGTGTCCACTCTTATTTCAGAGCAATAGGGTGGCTGGTCGTTTTTATTGAGAGAAACTTCCTTGCTTCAACTATGGGAAAAAGAACATATGCACGTCCAGCTACCATGGGACATCTGGCACACCACACCAATACCACCTTTTTGCATGCCCACACACATTCATGCTTTAAAACTCTTTATGCATTCATGCATAAAACTTTAAACTAGGGCTAATACAATTCATAACAGCAAGGCAGGAGACTGGCTATCACTTTATAGCTTCTCAGTTTCCAAAAGGGACGGGTTATATTACTGTTCATGTTACAGAAGTTTTCATGCACAAAATGCTTTCTTTTGTTTTCAGTAGCTCATTGAAATGCAAATATGGATTTTAACAAAAAAAAAAGTCTGTAAAAGTCAGTAACTCCTGTCACTTACTTGGCTTAGAGTTAACGACGACATTTTCAGCAGAGTGCTGGGGTGGAAACCTGCAGTTCTCTCCTTGGCCCTCACCGTTGCCATACTCTATGACTTCCACTTGTCCCAGCGGTACACTCCACTTCAATAAATACCTATGGCCAGTTGTCACGGCGCCACTGCTTTCATAGGAAGAGCTGAAAGATGCACAAATTATTGCTGTGAAAAGCAACTATGTTTCATGGCATCCTATTTATTATTTTAGCTTCTAAAATCTGCTGTTTATCAGTCCGAGTACCGTGCACAACTTGAAACAAATACATGCATCAGGCTGACTTTTGTGACTGACCTTTCCTGAAGTGCAAAGAGCAGCTATGCAGGTGTAGATAATCTTGTTTACAAACAGCATAGGACTGTCAACAACAGTCCCTACATTTCTATAACAAAACATAAATTACCATCTTGTAAGATCAATGTGCATTTTGACTTCCTAATACAAGTGCTTAGGATGATACTTTTGTTCCATATTTTCCTTTCTTTTGAAACAGTGCTCAAAAGAAGTAACTGCTACATCTAGGGAAGTATGGATGATGGGACCTTTGAATCACTACCAGCAGCAGGAAGGGCAACGCATCCTCCCAGGCTAACATTTCTGCTGAGCCCCACAGCCCAGGATGTTTTTTACAGCAGACCTTTGCAACTGCTGTGGCTTCTGAGAGTAATCCCACATGAGCTGCTGCATTAAAGGAAGCGTGTATCACAAGAGGCATTTCGGAGGAAAGAGCACACTGAGGAAGCTCACTTGGAATAGAAATGGCATTAATACTCCTTTTTCTTTTTTTTCCTTCATTCCCTTATTCACATTCAAGCACAAGGACAAAAGAGGTGTTAAAGTGAACAAATAAGGTTTACTTCACAGAAAGCGTGACTGAAATAGAGAAGTTAAATGCTTAGGAGAAATCAGCAAAATGCATTTATTAAGAACAGTACCAAAATGATGATGATCAGCTAGTCAGCTACTTATTTGCAACACAGTCATACTTTTGTTTCAATGAAGAGGCAAATATGAACAAAACCCACAAGTGCCACAACTTAAGTAAATATTTATAAACTCTTGATCTAGTTCAGAAGAAAGAAAACAAGATTAGGCAGGACACAGCTGTTCAGTCACTAGGGATAGCATCCACCCCATCTAACTGCTGCTACTTATAAGTTAGGTCTCCGGTTTGAGCCGGTCATCTGGACAACATGTGAAGAAGGACCTTCCGAGTGTCATGTACTCTGTAGAAATACATGTCTTGACAGCTATAGAAAATTGGTCTGGAACCAATGATCCCCAGGCTCCTGGGGACATCCGATCATTTTTGCAAAGGTTGAACAAAAAGGTGGTCAAGCAAAGTGAGCTGACACATACTGCACAGCTACATGTACATGTAAAGCTTCTGAAGAACTCTACAGCTCCAGGGTAAATCTGCAGGCATGCACCTTGAAAACCACTGCTATAGCAGAAACCTAGCTTAGGTAAGATGCCTAACTTCTATACAGTTAAAATTAAGATAAATAAAGCTCATCCTGCGCAAGTCAAGCAGGTAAGTGGTATATTCTATAGCATATGCTTATTTTGAACAAAAACTTCTGGCCTGGATATAGGTGTCATATGTGAAATATGGCAGATGATTTCCTTCAGTCCCTAACTATACATGACAAAGGCAGTTTCTTCTGCAGTAAAAAAAAAAAAAAAAAAAAAAAAAAAAATCTAAGAGCAGCCCATGAAATCATGGAGGAATCCTAAAACCCACACACAGCTTTCAGGTCAGCCCACCTCCAACTGAACACCCCAGGGAAGTCACAAACCTTTTTTTTGCTAGTAAATAAAACTAAAAGTGTGTTCAACTATTACTAAAAACCCACTCTTATATGAATAAATGGGTTGGAAAGCAAACCTTAACTGCTAGAGAAGACCATAATTAAACTCTTTCAGAGTTAGCAAACTCCCATGACACATGCATGCCCAATTACCATCCCAAAGGAGGTTGCTCAGAACCAGTTAACGCCCATGGGAACAACAGTGCTGTGATAACCAGAACTGTTGACTTAAGGAACCCGGGGACTTGGCATATAACATGAGACCAAGCATTCACACAGTTACAAAAATAATATGTAAGGTGTTCATACTTCAGTAATAAACTCAGATATCAACTCATATTATGCTTAAGAAAAGCTGTTCTTGGAAGTTTTTAATGGTTCACATTTTCTCTGTCAGAATGCACCATCACAGAAAACAATTTATGACACAAGCAACATTTCAGTGTGAGTGTGACCTTGGTATACACAGAGGTATAGTAACAGTAATAATTACAGCCATCTAAAATACAGAAGGCACTATGAAAAAATGCTTACCTCAGAGCACCTCAGCTTTAATCCTTCAGTGTTTGGTCTTAGAGTTAAAAACCCTTTTTCAGCTGTAACTTTGTTAGGGAGTTCCAAGTTTGTTCTGGTTACATAGATCAGCATTGTGTTTTGTTTGGTTTTGTTTTGTTTTTTTAAATTTGCAAATTGTGTAAAGTTACAGATTTATGTGTGTGTGAGACAGGATAAATTTAAGGAATACGAGAAAAAAATCCTACCCTTTGTCATGCCTGTGCTCTGCCTAACTAGATATTACAGAGCATGTCTATCTAATCTCCAACTGATGTAATTTTCTTACAAATTAACTCTAGAACTTCCAAACATCGGCATGCAATTTAGAGGACTGTAACAAAGTTAGTTATCCATTCATTATGACTACTCCTAGAAATCATTAGCCATAGTAAAAACAATTAAAAAAATTTCAGTGTCATTTTTTCCAGTTGAAGCTTGAATGATCATTTAAAAAATATGAATCAAGTCTTACCGAATATTTACTGTGGCACACATCAGCACATCATTTAACATGAAAAGTCGTCGTTCTTTGGTTTTGATAATTTCTCCTTTATCATTGTAAACAGTCTCAATCATATCATCAGTCCTTATGAGGTATCTGTTTCCACTGCTGAGAAGCTAGATTTTAAAAAATCAACACTATATATTATACATGATACATCTAACATCCAGTGCAAAAAATAAAAGGAAATTACAAGAAGTCATCTCTTTCTATCCTAGTACAAGTGTTTGCATTTGGATTTGCCAAGTGAATTAAGCCTCTTTACTAATTTGCTTTCCACTTAGAAAAACAGTAACTTCTGCTGCCACCAATATGGTCTGTAAGGTTTTTTGGTCTTAATATGGAACATAATTGCTCTGAAAATCTTCCACACTGATAAAGGTCCCCTAGCAAAAAAAAAAAAAAATAAATCCTGATAGCTTCCACAATTTCTGTGGTTTCCTTTCCTCACCCCTTTGTTCACTGCCCATGTAAGTGCTACGCATGGTTCCAGCTGTCCCAAAGGGGGAGGTCGAGGTGGGGGGAGGAAGAGTGCTCCTGCCCAGGCTCACAGAGCTAGCCGAGGAGCACGGCTGCCACAGGGTGCAGAGGAGGTGATTGGTGTAAGAGATGCTTGGCATCTAAATTTCTCCTGCCATTTGCCTTCAAGGGCTGAGGATCATCACTGTGCGCAAGGCTGAACCAATCCCTCACGAGTCAAACACACCTCCGTAGTGGCCCAGAGAACAAAATGGTGCATAACTCACTCATTTCCTATCCACCCACCTCCTTCTCTGCCTGTTTCACCCTGCCTGGCATTGTTCCAAACCTGTATATGCAAATATTAGCCCACAAGGCACACAGGACCCTATGGGATTTGGAGTGACTATCCACATATATATCAATTCATCCTCCCAGTACACATCATACAAGATTTCATACTTGATATTGATTGACAAAAGGAAACCTGGACCACCTCTTAAAAAGCACATTCTGTGCCTTAAACTTCTCCAACTATTAGTAGATGATCAGTAGCTGCTTCAAGAAGCAGCAGTATGAGAACTAGAAAAGAAAGTATAATGTCTGAATCCATCTTCTAATGCATTTAGAATGGAAGTACTGTTCTAGTATGACAATAAATTTAGTATCTCATTTCTAAGAAATAGCCTAAAACAAGTGTGATCTGGTTAACTACTAGTATCCTAGAAACTATGCTTTTATGCATCACAAAAACACCCCACTCCCAGCACTCCTTCAGCTTATCCCCATTACTCCATCCCAGAATGAGTCCAGACCATAATCACCTCTAATTTCATGAAAGCAATAATTGAAGCTTTTATGCCCCATCTCATGGGAAAGGAAGAACCATTTATGATGCAAAAAAAGACAAGCGTACATATATCCATAGTACAGATAGCTACTAACAAACTCAAATGAAGAAGAGTGTTCCTTCCTACTGAATGTCTTCTACAGTTCTTTAAAGACATTTATATTGTGTGATCCAAAGGCATGAATGAAATAGACTGAGATATTCCTTAAAATAAGAAAGATGTTGGAAACATTCAACAGCATGTCTTGAACCACTCCATAGTTGGAAGCACTGCAGTATAAGGAGCTGGCTCCTTCCTTTATATGGTAGTAATTCCTCAGTTCTAGGGTAAATTCAAAGTTGAATTTTCCCAAGCAGAAAATGTGCGTCAGACCTTACTATACAGCCATATTTCCTACACTGCCACAGAACACTGATACTGCTGCTGCTATTTCAGCATGTTGCCTGCTCCAGCACACAGGGGTTTAACCAGCAAGCCTGTTCAGTCCTGGAGGTAGGTCACATCTCACACCTACCACTACAATGACCCCATGTTGTCGAGCTCTACAGAAAAAAATGTAGGTGCCTCTTTGGTGTCCATTTTAGAGATTGCTCAAGGACCAGACATTAACTCTTCCATCATATATTCCTACTTTCCTCACCTTGTTCAAATAACGTTCATTCATTGCTTTTGCTATTTGTTTTATTTCACAGCGCTGATCTGCATCCCTTTTCCTTTCATTTAACTTCTCTGCCAGTGTTTCAAGTTCTGTAAGAGCCATCTGTAGAGGTAATCTGTCAGGATGTCCTTTACTAGTGTTCTTCAACATATCCTGAGGGGAAGCAATAAAACAAAACAAAAATCAGATTTCATTTCAAAGTCAAGTTCAAAAGATTACAGGATGTAAAGTTACCACTATATTCTTTAGCTGAGTACTACTAAAGAAAAAGACCAATGAACACCTAATGAATATTCAGACAGCACATTGCTTACTTTTCTGAATATCTTAATAATTCTTTAAAAAGATACTGAATGGGGTCACATACGGCTTATTTACAGGATGAAGTACAGAGAAGGAACTTGAAAATAAATGTAAAAACCACAAAGGTAAATATAAATAAAAAAGATTAACATAATATTAAACAATTTGAGAATCAATATTATAGTATAATATGTAGGTGTCTGTAAGCAATTATTTAAAATTAAACTTTTCTGATATTTATTGTAGTAATAATATTGTATTATCTTCATTACTGTTATTACTGCTCAATAAAACACTGACACCATGCTCATCCTGAAGTAGGAGTCATTACTTACTTCACGAAGGTCACAACAGCTTCTCAAAGTCTTTCCCTTTTGTAGGAATACAGTAGGAATAATCTGAATTATGTTTTTTCTCCTTTCCCACAGTGTTTACAAATCCCAACGTAATTACTACAGCTTCCTGCCACAATGAACTCCATCTCTCCTGCTACCTCAAAAAGTCTTGCCATGGTTTCCTACCGGCATGCTCTGCCCCCCCTCCCCGAACTGCCTCTGCTCCTTCTCCCACAGTAATTCCCAGACCTGCATCCCAAAGCCCGTCCTCCTCTGTGGCATCTACAAAACACAGCTAACTCACAGCGCTTACTGAGATAGAGCTGCTGTGGTCTGGAAGGAGTAACAAGCTGTAAGTTGGTCTGGAGCAAGTTTACACTGGGGAGCTGTGCTTTTTCTGCAGCTTGACTGCCTGTTCAGATGAGACCCAAGGACTCCCTGTCAAATACTCAGTTTCCACGGAAAGGAAAACAAGATGTTGAAGGTCAGAAGGAAGCTGCCACACACCCCATCAGGTCCTGTGAGCCAAATAGTGAGGGAGAGAACATGCTTTTGTTCTACATCCCACATATACTCTGAACTATCCAAGGCATGAATTAGATCATCTTGTATTTTTCTTCAATGGAAAGCAATGCCACAAAGTTCCTAGTGGTGTTTTAAAGTGTTATTAGCTAACGAACTGATATGGAAAAGTAACACGTTTGAACTACAGCTTTACTGCAAACTGACTTACGAGCTAAATCTAACATAGAAAGTAATCTAGAGTAAATCTAGTTTACTAAGATTTTCCTGCAGCGTATTTACTGCCTATCCCTGAAATCAGACTACAAGATCAGCATGTTGTGATGCACTGAAATTTTTTCTTTGTTATTTTCCCATGATTCAGTGGTCACTTCCACTGCAGCGTGTTCCTCAGCAGAAGACAGCTACCATGCAAGCCCACAAGCAAACCATGTAAGAATGCAACAAGAGCATCCTTTTGGTAAACCTTATTTACCTGCAATAGTAGAATGAACTGTGGAAAGCGCTGGATAGGTTTCATCATTAAACCATACAGTGTAATTCGATCGGGGCTTGACTCCTGGCACTGCTGCAAGGCAAGAAAGCCACACTATTTACTACCACACGCACATTTCCATCAGTTACAGAATGAAAGGAAAACATTTCCTAAAAATTCTTCTACATCATTTACATTAATTATAATAGTGGTACTGTAAATATTTGTCATGGTTTAACTCCAACTGGCAACTAAGCACCATGCAGCCACTTGCTCACTCCTCCAAAACATAGCCCCATACTTGCTACTATGAAGAAAAGTAACTCTATCCCCAGCCAAAACCAGCACAAGATTCCATTTACTATAAAGAGTATATTTAAAAATATTAAATCATAAAAAAAATATAAATCACTATTAAAATGATGGTGTGCCACTGAACTGAAATCTCCTTAAATAAATACAGCTGGGATAAAGCCACACCAGCAATGCAGCACCTATGTATATATCAATACAGCACTTTCATGCTTTTTACATAAACAGTGCACTGAAACATCTGCTTAACTTCAAGCACAACAAAGGGAATGTACATGTTCAAGGTCTTAAATTTGAAAACTATAATTTATCTGTTGATTTATAGTCCATAATTTACTATTGCTGCTCTGTTTCTTGGGGCTAAGAGTCTATAAATCTCAAACTACCTATGTGTTTTTAAGAGGAAAGCTAAGGAAACATAATCTCAATGCTATGCAAACAAAAAGAGATTTTAATTTTCTTTATTAAAAGACACTAAGGAAAAGAACATTGATTTTTGTTTGGAAAGAAAAACATAAGAATCCATTATTTTGGTTATCAGGACTCGCAGATAAAGACAGATAAATTTCATTTGCATGTGCATAAAAGTCCTGTTTGTATAAGACATGTCAACATTTGGAAATATTTTGGCCAGAACCACAGCAGATCCAAAATAAGGAGAGCAGAGGAAATACTCAATATTAAAGGCAAAGCAAACCCCAAAAATATTAAACTGATGCTGTGCTTAAATTGCTGTTTATTACTACAACTATCAGCTTCACAACAATTTGCTTCCACAGTTATCTCCACAAACATTGGGGTTTTTTTGCCCAAACAGCAGCAGTGAAGGTTCTGGTCTTCATCACTGGTGGGCAAACCGAAAGAGGAAAGTACAGAAATGTCTCCTGTCCTCAGAGTTCAGCTGAGAGCTCTGAGCAGCACCAGTGCTGGCACTGACAGGCAGTGATGAGAGGTGTAAGTTATGCCTCTATTGGAACAACAGGATTTTAACAGTGTCAGAGGGACAAAGTGACTATGTGCTCACTGGAGAGTCTGATCTTCGTGGTGCTTAAGGCTTCCAGAATATAAGCCTGTGCGGTGCTGGCCACACTCCAAAAAGCTGTTAGTTAATTTTAAGATCTGAAAACAAATTAGGAATCAGCCCCACTGCCACTCCAGTCTAGGCAGCTTAAGAGCTTCACTATTTAGTTGGCCTAGGGTACCAAATTTCAGTGTTTGGTGGACCACTGCAACAGACCTAACAGGGTGACAGCTCTGAGAGGCACAACCCAATCCAGGACTCTCAGGGAATGAGACAAGCAGAGCTTCCAGGCCCTCAGCAGTGTCACAGACAGCCTAAAAGCCTTGCAATGTTCTTTGTGCACCCTGTGTGAGGTATCATCCCTAGAGATTCGCAGCACTTCTGCTGCGTGTATCAGGCTCTCTGTGCACATCATCAGAAGTATCATATTCATCAGGGTAGTATGCATTCTACACACAGATTTTCAATTTCAACCTGAAATTGGAAATAGTTATTTTCAAAATTCTAGGAAACTCTAGTGGTAGTACTCTGCACAATATAATAAAGTTAGAAGTAAAATAAATTTCAAAGAAGGAGAGGCCTCCGATGGTGAACTATTATTTGAAGCTCACCTGATGTCCTGGTTGGGGCTGGCCTAGAGTTCCCGTTGGTCTGGCAGCAGGAAGAGTGCTGCAGCCCCCTGAGACCCCAGGGGCTCCCCAGGTCCCAGTGCCCTCACCTGTGTGCGGGGGCGGGGGGAGCACAGCTGGAGGGCTGGGCCCCGATTGGCCGATAGTCCATGTCACGTGACCTTGTGCTCACTATATAAAGGCAGGAGTGGGCCAGGAGGGGCTGCTGCTTCTGGGAGTGCTGCTGTGTTGTCTTTGTGTTTGGGATTGCTGGCCGGGAGCAGGTGGGTGTTGGTCAGTGGGTGGTGAGCAGCTGTATTGTACATTACCTGTTGATCCTGCTGTCAGTGTGTTATTCTGTTACTGTTATTAAACTGTTTTTAATCTCAACCTGTGAGTCTCCCTTTGCCCCTCCAATTCCCTCCCCATTCCCAAGTGGGGGGAGGGTGGGTGAGCAACTGTGTGGCATTTAGCTGCTGAGTAGGCTCAAACCACAACACCTGACAAGAAAGAATCCTAATGTTTTGCCAAGTATAGTCATGCAAACACCAATAAACCGATCTGAGCAACAAAACAATTCTCTGTACTTCAAAATACATCCTAGATCTAACATCATGTTATTATTCTGAAAATACAGTAGTGGAAGTGAATTCTCTGAGAATTTTTTGTGCTAAACCCATAGAAACAGTCATACAATATACAGTAACAGCAGTCAAATTTCCACCTAACTTATAATTTATAGTGCCTTATATTATATGCCCAACTGCTTTAAGATTGAACTCACCTTTAAGAAGTCTAAAAAGGCAGGTTTAGTGGCACATGTTTTCTTGAGAATCCCTACTGCTGTACTGAAGTTGTTCACATATTCGCTGTACGCATCCAATACCATAGATTTAGAAAACTGAAAAGATAAAAGGGTAAACCTTAAGTATAAATACAAATATCTCTGAAAGTATAACTATCTAGATCTTTGACTATTAAGGACTTGCCTTGCTTCGAGCTAAGGGCTTTGACTGGCCTAGTGCTGGATCTACAGAAATACTGGTGATGCCCAAAATAATCTTTCTGTAGAAGACAGGTTGGAAACCTGTAACAGCTGTGAAGTACAAAATTTAAATTTACAGAAATAGCTTCATCTTGGCTATGAGACAAGGGCAGACCCTGAGCACTATGGGCAATCAATGGGCATCCACTGAGATTCAAAGCGGCTCCTGGGATCCCCTGATCATCTCACTGCTGCCTATCTTCCAGATTTGGTGAACTAGTGAAGCCCCAGGGCCTTCATGCCCCATCTTCAGCTGCTAAGGGTTTACCAAGAAAGCAGACAGATTGTGCATCCTTCAAACAGCTATGTGAAGGGCAAGATCATTGCCCATTGCCCTGTTCATAATTTTATTCCTCTCTTGCAGAGGTGGTCTCACACTGCCTAACTTGCTTCAGTCAGAACAAGGCAGGTTTGCTTTAAACAGCAAATCTTTCGCAACCGCTTCATTTTGACTGAAACGGGGCCAAAGCACTCAGAGACACAGATCCCAGCTCTCTTACAGCAGGCATGAAAAGGTGGTAATTTCCAGCAGCTGGATGGCACCAAAACAAAGCACACAAACCAGCAGGTAGGCAGGGAACTATGTCTTTCTATCAACCAAGACCACTTCTTGTTTTCTCTAATTTAAAGCAGTGACTAGTTCAGCCCTTTACTGAATGGGTGGGATAGTGTTTTATGAGTACTCTTTACCTGTGCCCCAGGCTCAGTTAAAACCCAGGAACTCAGGACATCACCTACTGTGTTTTTTTTCTACTCCCAACAAACATACTATGTGTGACTACCTACTTTTTAAAAGATGTTGAGCCTCAATCCCACTTTAATCCTGGTGGGCTTGTGAATCTCTACCTTCTCAGAAAAAATAAACTGTTTACTTAAATGTCTGAAAGCTTGACCAAAGCCTGAAAATTTTGCCCACAATCCTTTCGCATCTGCCAACTAAGCCAAAGACATGTGGTGGTGTCTCCTTACCAGGATGGTACATACATACTCCGACAGTTGCCTGAGGCATTGGAGAATATGGGAATAAAGTGGCCAAGTTAGATAGAAAGATATGGAGATGGAATAACAAGTCTAAAATAAAAAGAGAATATCTGTTCAGATGCATTTGCTTACTGAAGCAACAAAGACATCACCAATCATTTCAACAGAGTCCCACTCAGATACACGACTCGCCAGTGCGATCTGAAACATTGAATGGCACTGAAGAATTTCCTTAATTCGGTAAAAGACCATTTTGAGTTTTCTTTCACTCAATAATTTTGGTTCCATATCTGAAAGGGGCTTTTCATATTGCTGTGGGAAAAAAAAATACAAAAATAGATTTAAACAAACAAAAAAAGAGGTCTTCTACAAGCAGAAAAAAAAACAACTTATGTAACAGTATACACACACAAGATGTCTAAATATTTGGCTTGAAGCATCTGCAGCAAAATCTATGTGAGTCATACTACAGATTCCTTAAGGACGTGATTATTTTTCAAATTTCCAAATTATAAAATACAAAAGATATTAAAGTACCTCCAGGATTCTTTTAAGAGCATCCACGTAATTCTTCTCACTGTCAACTACAGAGCCCAAAATATACCTTCTCACAACCTGTTGAAGAAATAAAGATTTCTCTGAAGCTCTAATGAGGTAACACATTCATTATAGCTGGGAATGCTGACAACAAAATTCTCACATTAATAAAACACAAGAAGCATACAACAATTTCAATACTGAAACTGCAATAAAATAACACTGTAACTCCTCAAAAGTAATTAGATTTACTATTGCTCTAAAATTATATATATCTAAAATTATATATATTTAAAGAATATATATATGTTTATACATAATCTTTAAAATATATACTCTATATAGATATAGATACAATAACTATAATCTTTGCTGACTGTTGCAATTCTAAGTTTTACTTTGGAAACTTGTCTTTTAATTTTAGATGTATAAATTTAGGCATTAATATAGATAATGATAGGTATAGGATGATGTTGGTTACTTCAGTGAATTGCTGCAACAAAATAGGTGACCAGTTTTCAAAATCAGCTTTCAAGATTAATTTTCTTTCTTTAATATGTTTTATAAGTTTACTAGGAGTAACCTGAAGGACAAACAAGCAAATATTATCTTTTTAAGGTAAAGCCATATAAACTGTACCACTGAGAAAATACCTAAGTCAGCATTCTGTTTTGGGCATTACCATGCATAAGTGAAAATCCCCTCATCTATATTCACATGCATTGACAGAGTTGTAACAGCTTCAGGAAATCCTACCATATTTCATGTTTACAAACTACAGGCTATTTATCATACCTCCTTCTCCACCTCCTGCTTCTGTAATTCAGCTGAAATGCACTTTGTATGCACGTGCAGGTGACATAACAGGAAGGACCGGGGAACTGATCTGGTTTAAAATTTAAACTTCTTACTGTTATTAGACTTCTTGCTGGTTTTAAGGATTTGTTTTCACCCAAATCCATTTCCTAATGCAGCTCATCCCAGGGCTTTCAAAAGCATGACTCTGAGGGAGAAGACAGCACAAGGGCAGGATCAAACCATTCCCTACTACAAGGGAAGGCAAAACTGCCTCTCGCTATTTCAAGCCAGCCTAAATGACCATGAAACTCAAATCTCAGACTTGCTTCTCTCTGCTCCCGATCCCCATGGCCTCCTGCCTCCTCCACCACGGCTGTCTTTAATTCTCCACACTTGTATTTTGCATTATGAAGTTAAGTGGAGATTATGCGAGAATTTTCTTTCAAGTTCTGGCATTTCAAAGGAAGACTTAAAAATTATCTGAGGCCTTGCTTAAAGATATATATGGTAAAATTAGTTATGTCTAATTTGTATTTAGAATGGATTTAGCAGTGACTTATTCGGTATAATGTATCAGCTGCTCTGGTAAAGGATACTAACTCTACTTTTAGTCACAGTTCATTCCTCTGAACAGAATAAATATCTGTAGAAAATGTTTTTTTCAGGCTCCCTAATAGACAAAATAGATACTTAATAGCACCTACAGGTTATTGCAATTGACACACATAACTTACAAGAGGCTTGCAGGCAAGTCTTGTATTTATATTCACATTTTTTCTAGTAACAGTAGCATACAAACATAAACAATGTAATAATTCAGGTCCCAGTATTAAAACAAAGCAAAAGCTATTCACGACTGAGACCCAGCTCAGGACATCGTATTTAAACAGGCACCAGGTTTGAAACAAAAGCTATCATGCCACCTGCTGTTTCAAAGAAGCACATTCATAAAGTCAGCTCCTTTGTGGCAGAGGGGTCCGGGTTGGAAGGGGACCCTGGACCCGGCCAGGCGCGATGCCCAGGGCTGCCGCGCAGTTCTGCCAGCCCCCAGCCCCTGCCGTGGCTCAGGGTTACTCCACCCCAGAGCCAGGACTCGTGTTTGGCTTCTGTTGAGCTGCTCGAGTTTTTCTGTTAACCTCAGCCCATCTGAGCAGCAGCCTCACCCTCCCACATATGGCCTGCTGTAGCCCTCTGATTAGGTGTCGGCTCCAGATGTGCACTGCATCTGGTATCCAGATCATTAATAAAGGCATTAAACACCACGGGCCCTGTATCTGCTCCTGGGGGACCATCACTAACTCTGGTCACCCACTGGACTTTGTACCATGGAGTACAAACTTCTGAGCATGGTGTCCTCGCCTGATTTCCACCCACCTTCTGGTTTAGCCATATAAATTGTCTCTCACCTATATGGCTACAAGGACACTGCAGGAGATTGATGAAAGCCTTGCTAAAGCAGAGATAAATGACACCCTCTGCTCTCCTCTGTCCACAAGCCAGTCATCTCAAAGAGACTTAAGGTGGTCAGGCACAAATGGACACTGGTCCATCTATGCTGACTGTTTCCAATCACCCCCCTGTCCTCCCAAACCCAGAAATAGTTCCCAGGAACATTTGGCTCCATCACCTTCGCAGGTATTGAGGTGAGGCCAGTCTGGATCCTCCTTGTTCTTCTTGAGAATGAGAGTGTGACATTTACTTTTTTCCAGTCTTCTGATCACCGTGATCTTAGATGTTAGAGAAAGGCCTTACCCTCAGCACCCTTAAATCTATCCCGTCTGGTCCCACAGACACCTGTATGTCCAGCTGCCCTCAGCACCCCCTAACTGCAGGTAATGCTTCACTCCAGCAGGACCTGACCATAGGCTGAGGGACTTCAGAGGGTTGAGGACACACCTCACCAAGTAAAAGCTGAGACAAAGGTGACACCACGTACCTAGCTCTTTTCAGTGCCCTTTGTCACCAGGTACCTGCCCCATCAAGCAGCAGACCTGTATTTTTCTTAGCCTTCCTTTTGCTGCCAAAGTACATCTAAGAAACTTTTCATTGTCTGCCTTCACCCCTCACTAGCTCCAGATGAACTTTGGCTTTCCTAACTCTATTCCAGCCCACTCGGTCAGCTCCTCCCGAGTAGAGAAGCAACATACATCATGACCTACACAATTACTAGTTTGCTCCAAACTAAGAGCACTCTATTTTTCCAAAAGAGGGTACATTTATTTTTAACTACCTACAAAAAAACACCCACCCAGTGAAACTCTCAAATTTAGAAAGAAGGAAAAGAGCGCATTCAGATTGATGCTGAGGTCTTACATTATAATGAAATCTTACAGTAACATAACACAGTTTGGTAGTTGTGTTGTTACAAGATTAGCACTTCACTATGCTAAACACATTAGAAAAATAAACCTCACCAAGCAAATAAAAAAGAAAACAAAAAAACCACAACAAAACATATAGCACTCTCCTCAGTTGCCCCCTAATTTGTTTTTTTGCTCATTTTCTGAAGGTACTGACCAACTCATGGCTCGACACCACAAGAAGCTAAAAATTCTCATATAGTTATTACTTGTCATAACAATACAGTAACATGAACCCACAGGATTTATTTTCAGCCAAAATTTCTAACTGATGCTGATTTCAGTGTTTTTTGAAGTGGTTTCCACAGTGACAATAGAGTTTGAGGCAGAGAACTGCAAAATATACTCTTCTATAGACTTGGCTTTATTGGGGACAAGTTTTTTTTCATCAGGGGAAAACTTAACATTCAGACAGCATACAGGATATTCTCTACATTTAAAATAGAAATCCTGGAGTAGCTGGAGCAATGTCTTCTGATTCAATAAAAATGTTTAAACTCTTTTCTTTTTCACTCGAAACCACTGTATTTAGTTTAAGTGTTCAGGTAACGAAACAATATAATTATTATAGATTATTTTATAACTCAACACAGCATTTTGCATCTCTGGCTGAATTCAGGACTGATGCAAACATTTGCACACATACCAATTTTCAAAAACTACTTATTCAGTTCTGAATTAGACGTCCACTTAATTTATGTTAAACACTAGTATGTTTGAAGAGCACAGCACCTGGGAGCCATTGACATAGAGCTGAAGGGGAAGAAAAAGAAGCAAATGACAATATTTCCAAAAGCCTACTACCTGCTGCTGTGATAATCCTTCAGGCATAGGAGTCATAATTGCTTCTGTATGCATACAGTCCACATCAATAAATAAATTTAGCTCCTCTTCTTCCAGACATGACGATCTGTGATCTAAAAATAATTGAATAACCAAAATGCCAACTTTTACATGTAGATTGAAAGAAGGGAAAAAAAAAAAAAAAAAAAAAAAAAAAAAAACAAAAAAACCCCAAACAAAGATCCCATCATCCAAACACAGTAATTACACAGCGGTCTTCTTTTCACCTACCAAAGAAATTTCCCACTTCTGTATCACCCACTCCTGTATCAACTGTGAAATCACATAAATACCACAACCGACTGGCACTCTAATACAGAACATCTTTCAAAGGTATCTTAAAATCCTAAAACACAGCACGAGACAGCTAAAGCGTCTTTTGCTTGACCTCTACTCTCTCTTCACAGCCAGGAGAACAGAGCTGCCCAGAGTACAGGACAACTAGGGTTAAAACACTGCAGCTCCATGGCCAGCAGTTTTGAAATAAATGACTTCTGAGAAGAAATTAAACACACCCATAATATGATCCAGCTTAAAAAATTCCATACACCCTTCAATAACTGAACAAAAATAAGTAGCCAAATATACCAAAATGTTGGTTTTCATCAGAAATGAGAGTAAGGGATTCTGTATTGCTTCCTGTATATTAATTTTATGCAAAAAGCACCACCAAAGTACAGTGATAGGTGGCAGTACTCAGCCAGCCAAACACACAGACACGGGCAAAGCACAGATAAAGAAAGAACAGTATGTGAAACTGTCTTAGAACAAAAAGGGAAGTAAGAGAAGCAGAACTGTTGGCTGGGAGGAATTTGAGTTTATTTGACAAATTTGTCACTAGGTCCCTGCTGATGTGGTAAGTGGCTTAGGGATTAAACTGTCCACAGATATCCTGTGTTCTCTACCTAACATCTAAGTAAGGGAAAATGCTGAGGTCTACTGTAACACTGCCCTGCTGAAGCAGATCATTTTCTCCTGTGAGACAGCAAGAAGTTGAGGATACATTTTTGATAACTAAAGTTTGTGGAAATAACTTCCTATTTTCTGTCTATGAATTGGGTAAATGCAGAAGCAGTTAGAGGCCATGACAGGCATGTAAGATGTGTCCTGGTCCTTACAGATAGCATGCAGCTTTATATTAGCTCACTCACTAAAAATGTCTTGTTCTAGTCTTGTGGCTTTAGCTTCCTAAAATTGTAGTTTTATAAGCTCTGAAGTCACAGCCATTCAATTAGTTGGGCAGAAACTTGAGCAGAAAGACATACTACCTCTCAAACTTATCCTGCAGAAGAAATAAGGTTGTATTCAGTTACTAACCCCTGCTTCTTGAAAAAATTAACTGTGGACTGCTGCTGCTGAGGCTCATGATAGAGGGCTGACATTTGTTCCTAACTAGAGAAAGAACACAAATACTTTTAGCTTTCTGATTTTAGACCACCTTCTGTTTTCCCAATCCAAACTCAACTTTCATCAAAAATCATGAAACTGATAAAGCAGAACAATCTCTTCCCCTACCTCCACTCTTAAGCATGGAAAGTGTTTGTTATCCCTTGGCCACAACATACTTTTAAAATAGTCAACTATCACTCCACTGAAAAACATGTCATAACAGCAGACATTCCTGACATTCAGGAGTTACTCGGAGGGAATTGGACAGACTTAGTAACTTAATATAACTACCATATACCAATACCTAGATAGCATCTATGACAGTGTTTGGGGAGATTTTTTGTTGTTGTTGTTGTTGTTGTTGTTTTTAAGTGGACCCTTCTCTGCAGTCCTCAGGTTTCTCATGTCACTCAGATTCTTGCCCCAAACCCAAAACTACTCAAGATGCATTGACCATACTGTCATCTGAACTGGATATAATACCATACTTTATTAATATAAAGCTGATTTCATGCATCTAGTACTCAGCTCCCAGTATAAAAATCTGCTAGACCATTCACTTACTTTCTCAGAAATTACTAGAGAGACTAACAAAGACGGTATAATTAGCACATACCTTGAGAAATAAAAGATTTTGTTCTAATGAAAGAACGACCCTTTTTCACAGCTGCTTTTGTCTTTTCAAGCCCATCTTTGGTACCTTCTCTAGCAGCTCTCATAAGCTTTTGCATCTGTAACATAAAAAATATAGTCTACATGTTCAGTGAATAGTAGGAACACATTTGAGCATGCCATGCAGAACACTTTAGATCAAAATATCTTTAGAAAGAACACTGTCAAGTAGTTTAGGCTATAAATATAGCCCAAAGTCAAAGAAATAAATAGTAAGCACACAGATCCATTAAAGCTCAGATCTGAGCACCTGTACTTTTTCTTAATAAAATCAAACCTGGAGAAAGGGATTTATTTCATGGTAATATTGTATGCAAGCCTAAAACAGCAGAAATGCTTAAAAGTCTTCTGCATCAAACATCTGAACTCAAAATAGTCTCAAATGCTCGGCTTTACATTGTACAACAAATAAATGCTATGGACAGGTCGTTACTGGCCAGGGCTCTTGTCCATCTTCCAATGTCCCACTCTCTGCCAAAGCATTTCTGACCTAAAGATAATGTCCTAGGCTCAGCTCTATATTAACTATAATCTCAAACAAACACTGTTTTTCAGAAAATGTTGCAACTAATATTATTTCATTAACTGAAGAAATAAGTTGGTTTAATTAAGAATTACATCATTTTATCGTACATTACATCAGCAAAAAGAAATTTATAAAAAAAAAAAATAAAGGAAAAAAGTGTTGTTTTGCTAGGAAATGTTTATTAAAAATACTGCTTTGTACTTTTGCTTTACCAAAATGCCACCACGGCAATAAGTCCCCACTACTGTCAGAGCTGTGCTGACGTCACCAGAGACATCAGAACACAAAGCTGTCTTGCAGCAATCAGGCAATTTCTCAGTTTGAGCCGAAGCTTTTAGCAAAAACCCAGCCTTTTCATACTGGCTCCATTCAGAATGGAGAGCAGAGAGATTCTGACTCGGGCAATTTGATCCCATGTGGCTGGAGAGCCAGGGTCAGGCTAGCCCTCTGGAGCTCACCCAGGCCTCGGCGCGGCGCCGGGGCTGTACGCCTGGCTCACACTGTAGGATAAGGGCACCAGTCAGTGGGGAAGGACAATGCCCTATCTCATCTGAAACTGTTACCATTAAAAATAAGCATGCAAAAAGTTCCTTGACGAAGTACTTTTAAGACAAACTGCATAATAATAATCCAGCACATTTAGAATTCATTTCATACAAATTATTGTCTGCTTTTTCAAGTTATTATTAAAATACAACATTGTCTGTGTTGGAAAAGCAATCATTTAAACATAGCTAGTTACAAAAATCAACTACACTACCTTCAGCTCATGTTTTTGCTTTAGTTGCTGAATCTCTACTGCTCCCACAGTGTTTGCCATCAAATCTTTCATCTTTTTTTCATAATGCTCCTTTAAACGCGTTAGGTCATGAGAAAGCTACAGTGTATAAAAAGACACAATCTTTTCAAAAAGCCTGCAGTGCAAACTTCATGCTAAAGTACTTGCGTATATCATGCATGTTGCCCCATCTGCCTCCTGATACATAGACAATGGAGGGAAAATTATCATTTAGGGAAGCTCCAACCTGACAAGTGGATCATCCCTCCTGTGCATTGCTGACCTTCCTGAAACTCAGCCAGGTGACTTTCTGCTACCCTAGCAACTATATAGAGGGGCAAAGTCACTGAGGCTAAGCTAACATGTATTAACTATATTGTGCACATCTCGCAAACTGTATGGAAACAACACATCAGCTTTAACCATGAGCATCATTCGTTGGAGAGCAAACCCTAGCAAGTATATTTTTTACTATCCTTCAAAACAGTGAATTGAAGAATTCTCAAAGGCTGAAGAACCTGTGGACGTTCCTGGTGCCTGAGAAGATGGAGACTGACTGTGCCAGCAAGCTGGGTAAGGAGACACTGACAGGGGAAGATACACAGTCTTGTAATTTCCACGTGCATCTATCATAGCCTCATTGTGTGGAGCATGTGTGTCACCATCTCATACATGAATATATCCATTTGCAAGGTAAGGAAACTATTGCAGAGAAATGCTCTGGAATACTAATTAACATTCATTAAACATATTGAAGAAGCCAGATAAGAGAGTTTCAAATATAACCAGAAAAAAAAAGAAAATATTTGGTGCACCTTATAATAGAAGTCCAGTGGAAAAACCCTCAGCTTGATGTCAACACAGTTATTTGGCAAGAGATGAAAGCACCAGGAAAGAGGAGGCCTACTGGGTTGAAAACAAAGGGACAGGTCGAGCATATAGCTCCACTAGGCTCGCTCAGGATGCAATTACCTCCAACATGATGATTCTGGCATTGCAGCAGTATAATTAAGAAGAGCATCTGGTTCACAGACTAGAAATATTTAATATCACAAAAACTTTCCCATCTTTAAATAAATAAATAAGTAAAATAATCAGGAGTCATCATGAAAAAGTGACTTTGACAGAAGTCATACTATCATTTAACAGTAAAAATCCCACCTCCAACCTCCTCATACTTTTCAACGGACACTAAAAATAAGCAAGGCAAGTCCGTCATAGGCTCTGAAAGGCTATAGAAGGAGATGTGCTGGGAAAATAGTCTAACATCCATCACAAGACCTGAGGAGAAGTGAGAATTAGTGCAAGGAATGGATACAGAGAAAAGTTATAAAGTAGAGTGGTTTCTGCCTGTGCTGAAGTGTCAGTGCAGGGAGGGCTAGGGTTTTTTTTTGTTTTGGTTGGTTGGTTAGGGTTTTTTTTTGTTCTGGGTTTGTTGCCTTTTTTTTTTTTTTTTCCAGCAATCTTAAATTTTCTGTCTTTCCTTATTCTCTGCAAAATCCCTTCTCTAGTTTCCTGACTTCTCCATCTCCCAGTTACCTACCCAGGTGCAGCAGCCTCTCCGACTTCTCCATCAATCAACTAATGTGTGCCTAGGCTTCTCATCCCCATCCTTACAAAGCAATCCTCAAACCTTTTTGCCACAGGCCTGGAGAAGCCAGCTGCAGGGCAGTAGCCCGAAGCACGCTTCTTCCCTCCCACCACTCCTTGGTCTTTTGCTCAGACACTCTGTGCCTGATCCTGACACCGTCACTCTCAATCAACTGCCAACAGTTTCCTGTGACAGATCAACATATAAGTGTTTTAAAAATTATTTTAAACCTTTCTTTGTGCACGTGTGTAAATAGATTCCTATGACTATGGTCAAATCTGAAGCTACAGATAACAGGAAAAGATTAAAAAACAAAAACAAAACAAAAAAAAAAAAAAAAAAACAAAAGCAAACAAACAAAAAACATAAACAAAACCAAACCAGCAGCCCTGTTAAGACTTACACACTCACATGCAAAGTCCTTTCCTAGTTTCTTCCAAAGGTATTAAAAAAAAACAAAACAAAAAAAAAAAAAAAAAAAAAAAAAAACAGCCAAACTGTTTTCTTCAGTCTAATTTAAAAACTCCCCAGAAAAAACCAGCTGCAATAGCTTAAACTTGTTCTACTCAGGACAAAACCAGAGGATGAGCACTCAGCTTACAAAGTGCTGATTTCTGTGGACTCAAGTCTTGCAGTTAATTGCTCGCTGCCCGATTTCCAAAGGGTGGACAGCAAGGATGGAGGTGGGGGGAGAGCAGACAATGTGCACTGGAGGGAAACAGATGACAGTGAGGCTTTTATTCTCATCAAGATAAGAAACCTGCAAAATGAGAATAAGGGTCCCATGAGAGAACACCCTGGCCACTATCCATACATCCTCCAGCCTCGGGGTGCTGGCACAGCCAACAGTACCCAGCTGTGGAGCAGCTCCTGGGTGTCTATCCCTATCCAGCACACCCTGGGGGGCTCTCAGGATTTTGCAGTGAACCCAGGCACTGAGCCCAGCCCTGCCTGTCCCCACTGTGCCCTGCACCTCCGTCCTCCAAGTGCTGAGAGCAGGGAACCTGCAGCGGGAGGCTGCCCAGGTCCCAAGGCAAGTCTTCCCTCTCACAGAAAGGGCACGAGGGCAGAAGGAGAGGAGCCAAAGCAGTGAGAGCACGGGGGTCTGGGGCTGCTCCTGGTGTGCGATCAGATAGATGCAGCGAGGGCAGGCACCCATGCTGTCAGTGTCTCCCTGCCTCCTGTGGCACGGGTGTAGCCAAAGATACTAGACCAGGGATGTGTCACAGGTGGATCACCTTAATTATGCCATCTCCCTTCTCTCCTTAATAAATGGTACAGACTTCTATTTGATCACAAAAACCTTACATTTTGGGGATTTTTTCTAAGCTCAGTCACCTTCAAACAACCAAAGTGATATAGATCTAAGACAGAAAGGTAAGGAACACTGGTGAACACTCGTGTAACTTTTGAGCACCTGAAGGATCCCAAAACTTCAAGTCTTGCCAGGCTTACCCCTATTTGTTCTTCACAGTTTTTTTTTCCCACATTCATTTACCACTTACACTAATCCAGCAGTTGCAAAAGAAGAAAAGGTGAGGAACTGCCCACAAGCAAAAATAATCTCATTTTTAATTTCACTTTTATCCAATTTGAGTTTTTTCTTTTTTAAAGAGCTTCTGTTTAATATTTTTATCTTTTCTTTTCACTGTTACATTTTGTTGTGGACTGTCACCACAGTGATTCACATCTCCTTTAAAAAGATGCTGTTGGCATTTGAAATTGGATTGAGGAGAAGGGAAATACAGGTGAGAAAGACAAGTGTTAGAAATAAGGATAATCTCAGCGACGGAGCAGCACTGTGGGATACATACATGTCTCTTGTGGTTGCCTCGCAAAAAGGAGCTGGGAATTCCATTTTTACACTCAGAATCACTCTGTTCTTCATAGCTTTCAAACTCACTGGAACTCCACCCATATTCCAGCGAGCTGTTTCCACCATCTTCACCATTTTCAACATCATCATAAATCATTTCCTCTGCAAAAATTAAACAAAAATTTAAAAAGCTACACTGAAATTTCTGTTTGTTTAAACACCAAAAAACTCATTCAGGATGTACTACAAAGAACTATACAGACTTTTGTATGCACATTTTTTAATGTGAATTAAATCCACATTCAAACAGCCGAAGTGGGTTGTCTTTGTTGAAAGAGAGTACTAAAAGAGGATAGTGTTATGGGTACACACCAAAATCCTCTTAAAAACATGCCTTTCTCAAACTACATGGTTATGTCCAAATCCCACAACATGTTTTAGAAGAAATTCAAAGGAAGTTCCAACTGTAGCTGTGAACATACGTCTGCACTGAGAAGAAGCATCCTTCCACTCGCAAGCTTGCCATTAGTCCCTAGGAACATCAGCAGCAGCTAAAATGACAAATGCTAAAACACTGCAAGAATCAAAGGGAAATGTCACCACTTCAAGCAAAACAGATCAGACCAAAATAGCAAGAAACATGTTACGCTATGATATTTTACAACTCATCATTCTTGCAACTCCAGCAGTCAACTACAAGTCTCCCATATCCGCAGGTTATCTCGTCCATAATCTAGTTTAAGAGCTTGAAGCATTAACCTTTCCAAGATAAAGAAAGCTATATTGCAAAGGCTGACCAAAGTATCACCTGTTAAAGACACAGGTCTTTTCATTGGCACAGTTGTTAAGTACACCAAACTGACTCAAAACAAAATGGAAAATTTTTAGTGCCTATTACTTTGAGGAAACAGGCACGCACTCTGCATGCAACATCATTTGTCATTTCAAGTAGAGAAGTGTGGACACTTCTGCCAGGGATCTCCATTGTCAGAAGTTGAAATGCAGCATTTAAAACTGTCTCATATTAAATTCAGTAAACAAAGCTTGTGCTTTCATTTTAAGATTGAAGTTTTATTTAAATCGAGGGAAAAAAATGTAGTTGAAAGAAAAGCTGATGTATTTTACACATCCATCTAAACCCTGGATTCTGTGATTTGAAATGTACATTTTGACCAGTAACAATATTCTAATATTAACATTAATTAAATTCTTTATAATTAACACAGAGGAATCTCCTCTAATTTTGAAGATTCAAATTTTAAGAATTTTTTTTTAAACCTCCATGTATATCAAGACCATCCTTAAAATATCCTTACTGAATAAGACATTTTAGGGGTAATCTAGCACAATGAATAATTAAAGAGAAACATCCTAGTAAGTCAAAAAAGACTTACAGAAGTCACACTTTTGCAATGACAGTATTGGGGCAGAATTTACCCAGTGATTTGTTAGACTTATCTTGTTCATGTGCTAATGTAAACAGCTCTGACTGTGACTTTTTTGGAATAGTTGTGCGTCCCTGACAAAATATAAAATTAACAAATATCAAGGTCATGAATGAACAAAGATGAAATTTCCCTCACTACCTATTTTCTCAGAATCTTTCAATGTCTTTGGGGACAAATGGAAAGACACCATTTTAATTAATGTCTTCTGGGTTAAGCTGAAAATTCTGACTGAGATGCAGATCTTTGCTGCATGTCCCGTCTCCCTCCCCAGCTCAGCCTCCTGGCCTCGGTGCACTTGTTTCCTGACTGAGCAGCAACACTGCAAAGATGCCCCTGCCCAGAGCAGCACAGTACACTGAGAGACCATCCAGTGGTAAAAGCATCCAAGTCACAAATGTAACATAATACTGTCAAATAATAAATTAAACAAATTTCAGTAATAATTTGTAAAACACCTTGCCTGCACAGCACTAAGGCCATGAAATGAAAATGTTACAGCTTTAAAGATAAATGTGGTTTTCATACAAGAAAGATTAAGTGTTTTCCTGAATCATTAACAACCTCAGTGTCAAATGCCTACACACTCCGAGAGCCATGACAAGTAGATGTGGGGTTCCTAATAAGCCGATCCACTCAAACACAAAATCAGTTAGTATCAACCAATCTTTAAGCACAGTCTTCACTAGAACCAAAAACTGCAAAATAAATCTGAGCAAGAACTCATTCAAATAAGCTTCTTGAGCCCTACCTCCACCATTCCCATTAAAGGTAAAAATCTTGCCTCCAGCAACTACTTTAAAATCTATTCTACTCCTTCCAGACATGGTCACACTATCAGGAGCTGGACCACTCCAAAGCTGAAATAAAACATTTCCAGAGTCACAGTCAGGGTGGTAAACAGACACTCTGAATCTCCTCTGCCATCTATTAGCTATTTTTATGTTGAAGGGGGACTTTCAAGAAAAGATCAGGTCTCTACAACCATGAAAATGATGCATTATTATATGTTACTTAACTATTTAAAACACCCTTTTCCTACCTACCTTGCCTTGTTTAGGTCACTATAGCTACTACACCCAACACTGTAACTCTCTAATATACAGAATACTCAAGCATTTGGGACAATATTTATAGAACAAAGCAGAATTCAGCTTCTGAGAAAAGCGGTGTAGGAGACCTGCTGAGATAAAGTCTTTCAAGAGTTAGTTTAACTCTGAACTTTGTAAGACCTACTGATTATTGACACAGTGTTAATTCCATTTACATATATTTTAGGTACTTAATGAATATCTATTCAGTATACATGCACATAATTCCATATTATATTGCTTTCAACGTGGGCAGTATTACAAAGACCTCAAACCTGGTTCAGAGTCTGAATTTTCTCTTGGCACATCATCATAAATTACTTCATCTGGGTCTAAAAGCAAAATAGAAAAAAAAATAAACAAAACAAATGAGAAACCCTCTAAAATTTGAATGAGACCAATAAACAGTGTTTAACAGGCATTTGGACAATGACCTTAACAACAGTGCTTTAGCTTTTGTTCAGGCCTGAAGCAGACAGGCAGTTGGACTAGATGATCACTGTAGGTCCCTCCCAGCTGAAATAGTCTATTCTATTCTAAATAATTTTGGTTATATTGGCATATACGAATACAATGGTGACATGACACATTCTCTATTAGCATTTTGCTAGTACATCTAATTATCATTCAAATAACGCAATAATGCACAAAACCAGTATGTGGTATTTGTGAAATTTCTCACAGCTTTATCTACATTGTTTATGATGACCTTTGGTGGCCTAAAAATAGAAATGCACTTCCACAGGCAACATTTATCTCTCCTTTTTAGAGCAGTATGGAATGTTCTGTGCTTGTCAAGGGCTGCTCATTGCCTTACTAAATGGCTGTAGAGAAGCTGTAATAAACACTTTTTTTTAAAAAGAACCAAAACTAAATAATGTAATGATCATTGTAGTACATTAAGAGGCAAAACGAGGATGCAAATTCATCAGTCACTTCAAGTGACCTGTAAGATGAACCTCCATCCCAGTGTGAACAGATGAGAACAGGCAGGATAACCTGTCCTCAAACCACATGGGCTCTGTTCTGGTTCAAAGTGCAGCTGCCAGCCAAGAGCCAAGCAGACATACCAAGAAAAAGTGTCAATTCCTTCTCTTCCACTGTCTCCAGTAACTTATTTGCCAGTTACTGCATGAGAAGAACAATTTCATATACAGCCACAGTATGACACAGACTCTGAAGTGGAACAAATTTCCACTCTATGTGTATTGATGAAGCCAAATGATTCCACACACTACAAAAAGCACTCCACAGAAAAGTAAGTGCCAACTTTATTCTAAAATATGCAACTTTATTATGCTGCTGGACATTCTGGAATATATCTGAAAAAATACAATAAAACTTAACATGAACATTCCTCTAAAACAGATTAATACACACATACTGTTGACCACAACTTAAAACTAACCTTCTTCTATCGTTGTACTTCAGTGCTTACTGATACTTACTTTCCATCCATGCTGTATTTGCAGGATCTGCAACCCACTTGGCCAGAGCATCATCCTCTCTCTTGGCCTGGTTATCTTCACTTGAAAAAAACAGCCATAAAATAAAAGCATTAAAAGCTACACCACAATATTTTTAAGCAACTGTGAAGACAAGACAATAAATATCTTGCTGCCTTCCGGTTACCACTCAGAGGCTTCTGATTACTCAAAATTACATACTGAACCAGTGTTTAAGAGATTAATAATCTACTCTATTTAACCATCTGACAATTTTAGTCAAGAAATTGAAAATACTTCCCTTCCAATCTCAAATATTTTGCTTTTGAGTTCTACCAGAACACAGAAACCTCTCTCTTAGAAAGCAGTGGAGAGAGCACTGCTCTTTCACTGTAAATAAGACTAAAGATGTTCTGGACTGCATCAGGAGTCATCGGGCTTGATGAGGCTGTTATCCTCTCTGCTTGGTGCTGGTGAAGCTGAAGCTGCAGGAGCACATCCAATTTTGGCTTCCCACCACTCTCCTTCTAGAGAGCTGTGGAGAAATTGAATCCACCTCTAGAGAAACATGGAGAAATTAAAATTGTGGACTAAAGCATATGGCCTACAAGGAAAGATGTGGAAGACACAGAGCTTATTTAGTCTGGTGAAAAGGATGCTACAGGGTGATCCAACAGCAGCTACAACTATCTGAAAGAGAGCTACAGAGGTGATGAAGACGTTTTGGGGTTTTGGTTTGGTTTTGTTTGAGTTTGTTTTGAGGTTTTGGGGGCTGATTTTTTTTTTTTTTTCAGTGCCACATGATACACAAGGGTCAACAAACCGTACGTTGGAAGATTTGGTTTGGATACTAGGGGGAAAAAAAAAAAAAAAAAAAAAAAAAAATCACCAAAGGGTGACAGTACAGCAGGGAAGACTGCCCAGGAAAGCTGCAGCATCTCCATCCTTGGAGGTTTTCAAGGCCATAGCTGATCTAATAGCATGTTGGCAGTGATCCTACTGAAAGCAGCAGGCTAGACTACAAGATCTCCTGCAGCTGACATGGCTATAACTCTAAAACTCTAAAACCTAGTTCCTTCAAAAATGTCATGCACAGTTACACATAGGAGACCTCAACCAGTGCTGATTTTGGTACACAACCAGAGTTAGAGTTCAGAAAAACAAAAATAAACAAACATGGAAGCATCACACAAGAAAAATAAAATACTTATCAAATGTAAGCTTTCTCAGGAATTAAGGTTTTACAGATCATTAAAACATGCTGAATTGACAATCACCTATTTTGAGGCTCCTCCGAGTTTACAGAATTATATTGACATTCTTCAGTTGCTGACTGTGTACCTGTTAAATAGGAAAAAAAAAAAAAAATCACCAAAATGCTTGGAATAAAATGTCACATGTGGTTCAAGTGGTACGTTTTATCATACAAAACTGATATTACTAGTTTACTGCTAATGAATAATCTACTTCTATACAGTATTTTTATTCTTAAACACTAAAAATTTTAGAAGTTTCTTCACACTAGCCATTTTTGCAAGTGAAAGAATCTAGAGACACAGTAGCTTGGTATAAGAGCTGTTAAAAGGAAATTGCAATGTCTGATGCATTTCATTCTAATCTCTCAGATATATATTCCTCTACAGATGATAACAACCACACAAACATTTACCAATGTTCCTAACAGTGGTAGACAGCAAAGACTGCAAAAAAAAAAAAAAAGTATCACATTACATGGAATTAGAGTAGAATTGCTGCCTAAAGAATAGTATATTCAAAGTACAAGAAAGAAAAAAAAGGCAGGTTAAGGGGAGCTTTCTGCTCCTTGTATGAAAGGACAAACAGAATTCGCCTCAAGGAAAAAATCCCACAGCAACTCTAAATCCACAAGGATTGGAAAATAAACAAACAGAAGTGCAGACAGAAAAGGTAAAATGGACAGGAACTCTGCCAGGACCTAGATAAAGCATCGTAAGATATAAGAAGAAACCATTTTGCTTGAACACTTAAGAATGGCTCTGGAAATTATTTTATTACATTAAAAGGGAATTAGCAGTAATCATTCTTAATGGCAAGATAAGACGGGAGTCTTTCCTTGTACCACGTGTTGTAATACAGTGCCAGCAAAACAAAGGTCAAGCAACACAAACTTAAAGAAGGGTTGAGAAAGAACTGACTGTGTATGCACATTTGATTTTTCTTACGCATGTTTACTTAGGCATCTCAATCTTAGTATGGCAAGCAGAGTCCCGTAGAAGTTGTTGGTTTGGTTTTTTTTAATAAACTGACATTTTTTTTTCCAAGTCTGACATGAAATTTTAGTTCATACTGCAGAATAGAATTCTTTTTCTCTTTTGACACAAAATCTCCCACACACGTCCAGGCTGAGTGCTACACAATCATTTACAAAACAGCACAGGTACCTGAGGTTAAACAAGGATTACCCTTCAAATAAAGTAAGGTGTGTAAACATAGTACCTTCTTCATCTACAGAAACACTGCGTATTATGACAGGACTGGAGTATGCTGGCAGTAGCAAAGGTAAATTAGATGGCACAGCATAGCCACAGGGGACAGGAACAGAATATCCACCGGACAAGTTTGGACTTGCACATTCATCTTGAGGACTTGGTTCTGGTGATGAGGGTGGATCTTTGTCTTGGATTGGTGAAATATTTATGACTGAGTAGGGATTTACTTTGGCTGGAATGCCTTCTGCAGCAGGTTCTGATGTTTGTAGCTTTTCACTGTTTTCTAAGTTATCAGCCCCTTCAGTTGAAAAAGTAAACAAAAAAAATATTTTTTTTTTATTTTTCATACCTGTTCAAGCTGCTTAATATTGCTCTTTGCAAATATCCTAGTCACTGTTATGATGCTTATTATACAAGTAGCATACGATCTATGACTCAAAATTCCCACATAGTTCCATTTTACAGATGAGGAATACAACAGCAGCAAAATAAGCTGGGTTACAAGGCTGTTTATGGAAAAACAGTAACTGGATTCTAATCCTGAATGGGAGGATTTCTGAAAAGTAGTGAGGGTCCTCTTTTGCTTGTCATAAGCATACAGCTCAAAACAGCCTCGAACCCTGAAGGCTAAAATCTGGATTCTAAATGAATTGGGATCTCAAACTGAAATACAAGAAACATTTTCGGAATAGCCATGAGGACAGAAAAAGTTCACTGGAATGGCACTCCTCAAAGAATAGTCCTGAAAATGCTGTTAAGGAGAAATAATGTAACTTTCCAAGTTTTCCTCATGGAAAATAAATTATTTTCTGTTACACAAAGTTCTTGTTATTTATTGAGACAAGTTGAGGTACAGCAGAATGAAAGGCCCCTCTGAAGCAAGCTGCAGAACTGCATCCCAAGCGATTGAAAGTTTTTGAGCTGTAAGTACAACTTCATGAAAGGGTGAGCAAGCAACAAATTTTCAGGGAAAGATGGTGTTTAAGTTCCAGGTTGTCAAACTGCATAGTCACCTCAAGAGTTATCTGTCTTTAATTGCCAAGACCACAATGACTCCACTTACAAAATCAGTTGTAGTCGACTTGAGCAGAACACAGCAATTTCCAGACTACACCCTACACTGGGAACGTCTGCATGTGTTGTAACAAACATTTTAATGCTTATTACATGTTTATGAACAGAATTCATACATTCAGACTCCATTTATTTTTTTGTACATCATCTTAAGATCAGCAACTAGCAAGCTTAGCTGTGAAAGCAGCTTATCCCAAGCCATCCACATGCTATTAGAGTTGCAAGGGTGTAACATTTTCCTGTAGCATGGCGCTGTGACTGAGACCAATCCATTGGTTTGGATTGGAATCTCACAGGAATTACATGTGATGGTCATTTGCCTTGTCAAATCTACCATGACTGTAACTAGCAGGAATATTCAAAACACTTCTATGGTATTTCCATGGAAACCTCTTTTCTTTTTACCAGTATTTTTACTGCACTGTCATGAAAAGGCATCCTATAATCAGTCTTGACTATTTAGCCTAGTGGAGGCACAGCCTGACAGGCTAACTTACCTGTGGCCTTAGCCTCCTGGTGCTCTATGTTATTTCCAGGACCAGGAGGAGGTGGCACAGAGGCTTGTCTGTCTGCTTCTGGTATCTCATCTCCACTGTCAAAGTCAAACTGTTCTCCCTCATCCTCCTCTTCATCATTCGTACTCGCAGCTTTTGGTTCATGCTCTAGAACTGTGCAGAAAGACATGCATTTGGTTGTTTGCTCTCACTGATTTCATGGGGACCAGTAAGTGTTCCATATTACAAATGAAGCTTACACAACAAACCCTTAGATTTTTAGGTTACTGGAACAGAACAAAAGCTCCTTGACATTCTGATAATCTCACACAGTTTTCAATCCTTTAGTGTAAACACTTAAAATACTTGGAAAACAATTAAGTATTGATAATGCAAATACCCTTGCTTTTGTCATAATGAACCAAAACCAAAACATTTTTAGGAAAACACTTAAGTAGCCAATACTTTAAACAAGAAAAGTTCAGACTCATTTACTTGTACAGGGACTTTGGGACTTCATAACTTCAAGTCATTTTTCCTTTCTAATTCAAACTTCTAAGTCTATTCTTTCTTAACAGTGTCAAGATGACAGTGAAAGTAACTTTATTCACACACATCATGAGACACAGCAGACTGCTTTTCCTACTCCAATCTGAAATAGTTTTAAACCAACGACCTGCAACATGCTATTAGCCCTATTACCACACACAAGGTGCACTCTGGTGGAGGTGGGGGGTTGACTATTCAGTTCTTACCTTTGCAGAAGTGATGGCTGAAGTAATTACAGCGTAATATTTTTTTTTTGTCTTTGCTTGTGAAGACCTTGCAACACAGATTTGGCACTGTACACGGAGCTGGGGAGGGGGGAGCAGAAGGTGCCGGGCAGTTTTCCTTCATGGTATTGCTCTTACCCACAGGAGCCTGGAGAACCCATGAAGATTTAAACCCTTTCAGTGCCTTACCTACTGCTGGTTTTGCCATGCACTCGTATCGCGAGAAGGCTGCCCACAGCATCCACAGCCTCTGTCAGAGACACTGCACAGAGGAGGCACAGCCAGAGCAGCAGCAGGGAGGGATGCCCAAACCCTCCAGCCTCCTCCCTGCTTCAAGAAACCTTCACTGCAGCTCCCCAAAACAAAAGGGCTTCATCCCTCCCTCCCTAAACCTGCCTTCGCTGCTCTTCCACCTGCTGGAGGAGAGACTCTTACCAGAGGTCCCCTTGAGGCAGAAATGTCATCTGTGGAAATTTTTTGGCCCAGCTGACCTTCCTCCCAAGCTCTTCCCCAAACACATGATCAATTCCTAACTTTTACAAAGGTGTTCAACAACGTATTTTAAATGTTATAAAAACCCTCACACAACTATAGCATAAAAGCATATACTAAAATAAACATGTAAATACACCAACATGTTATAAAAATATACATCAAATTAGTAGGGATTCCCCCTCCCCCTCTTCAGGTAACACAATATGAAAAGGTCTTGCAAGGACAAATGGATCTCCTGAGTCATGATGATATTATCAGCTTTTCCATCATCCAGGACAGGTTTTGTATCTTTATGATAAAACCCACACAAACCACAGCTCTAGACTGCTTAGATTGTCATGGTAATCAGCATTCCTGCCAAGGCTTCTGTTTCTTCAGGCAGGCTGAGCCAGCATATTTTATCACAGCCACAAATAACAAGATCTTTCATGCAGCCTCTCTGCAGGAGAAAAAGTGAACTAATTGCAAAAATAGTAAGGAACAAAAAAGGGGTTATCTTGCATTTATTGTCATGGTTTATGGCTGAGGCAGCAGGACATTTAATTTAATTTTGATGCTTTTCAAAAATCCTTCTGTACAAAGTCAGCCTTTAGACTAAGGCTTTTCATTTTTGCTTTTGTCCATTAGCAATATTTTTTTTCCTGAAAGATGGAAGAGCTCTGCAGGATTTTTTGCAAGTGATTCAAGACAATCACGGCATTCTTTGCCAATTCAGCATCCATTTGACTAGACTGTACTACTTGCTGCTTGACAGTAACAAGGAAAAGAAAGAAAGGGGGGAAGGGTATGGTGGTGTTTTATTGCTGTTTATTTCAGTTTCTTTGTGTTTTCAATATGTCTGCATACTTCAAATTTGGAAAACACAAGCCCATGTAATACTAAGTAGAGTGTTTGTGATTACCAGTGTATGAAACACCGGTTAGTCATGCAGACTAGGCAGGTAAGTGAGTAGATGGCAGTCACAAGCAGGTAACAGCCACAAAACCACAACTTCTCATGTACATGCACTGCTATCTGCCACTCTTCTCACTGTACTATATAAATGAATCACAGCAGCAACCACTTCCAATACATTAAGTAGCTCGGTCTGCACTTCATGTGGTGGGAGGAAGGGGAAGATGAGGTTATTGGAACGAGTCAATAATTTCTGCAGGATTAGGCCACTTGGAAAACTGGGGCATTGCTGGAGCAAGGCTCCGCTGAAAGCCATGAACCCACAGGCTCACTGTAGGTGAATTCTAGACATCAGCAGATGAGAAAGCGTGTGTGAAACATCCAAGCCATGCAGGGAAACGTCGCGGGAGCAGCAGGCACCTCTGAGACTTTGTGACTGCTAAGTCAGGATCCAAATACTTCCTTAGGCATATACAGGTAACAGGTATCAGATGCCTGATAACTCGCTACTCTAGCACTTTTACACCAATGCAATTCCCCAGGCACTCAAGTCCAGTGCAGTGCCATTTGTCAGAGACAGACAAGACCTGCCACAGGCAAAAAAGGGTAATTTGAGACACTAAAAGCAAAATGACTAGGGACTCAGGAGCAAGACCTGGTCAACTGATACACAATTCCCCTCCAACATGACTCCCGATTCCCCCTAAAAAAGTAACCAATGCATATTTTATGATTGTGGGAAGAAATCTTGACATAGGATTAATTTTCTCAACTCGGGTAAAAAAAAAAAAAAATATCGAAGGTACCACCTAATTTTTATCTGTTATGGTTGTTAATGCTGCCCTGTTACATTTTTTCAGGAACATTTACTTTGTGTCATAAATAAACAAGGCACAGAACCTTATAATTGGGCACTACAGCCTGGAAAGATCCCCTAAATCACATCACTGATGGGACAGTGAGTTAAGATTACAAAACAGATCAAGAAAGAGAGAAATTCCCTTCTCAGATTACATGTCCTTTAAAAAGGGCAGACTGGAGATAAATATCTTCACTTCAGAAAGTTTTAAAACTGTATTTCAGCCTTGTATCACTTCTGTGTTTTCTTAATTTGGAGGGATAAACGTTGACCCTTTAAATTTACTGATCCATTCAATCTCATATTCTCCTTTAAGCTTTTAATTTCAAGGGCAAACTATTTCAGTTGGTGGAAAAAGTATTTTAATAACAAAAATAAAGAGAGGGTGGGGGGCTTTTTGCTTCAACTGAAGAGCTGCTCAGCACTGCAGATAAATACAATTATGCCATAAAAAAAAAAAAAAAAGACATCCTGAATAACTACAGTTTTGAAAGTATGCACTTTTCCTACAGTTGTTTGGGTTATGTCAAAACAACATACACACATGAAAGCACTTGTGAAGTGCCACAATAAATTAGGAAGACACACAGCATCATTACACTTAAGCCGAATCTGGCTAAAAAAAAACCCACCACAGGTCTTGCAAAATTTGATGCTCGTGAGAGAAAGCCCCAGTTTCTCCAGCACTTTAACTGTAAATCAAAAGGATGAAATAAAAAAATGTATTTCCAGGCAACTGTGCTTGCAGAGATAAGCTGTGAGGGTGAGGAGGGGACTTCCAAGGTCCCCCTCCTCAAAGAAAAAAAAAAAAAAAAAAAAAAAAAAAAAAAATCACACAAGCAGCAACTACTTTTTTATTTTAAAATAATTTTAAAATACACTATTTTTTTTTTGCCAAAGTAGTAAGCACAGAACACTTAGCATTACAGAGTCTGCCTGGAATTTCTTTGAATAATTAAATTAGTTACTAAAAATCCAATTTGCCCTTTCACCACTACTCACTTCCTTAACTTTATGCGTGCCAACCAGAGCAATAAGAATACAATAATTGATTAAACTTTTTCATCTTATGCCAATACCATTCTGCAGCATTTGCTTTGCAAATGCTTCAGGGAAATTCTTGTGTTTATAAAAATCTCTATTTGGAGTTCTGAAGCACAAAAAAAAAATAAATTATATAATGGAAAAATTGTGTTCAAGTTAAATTAAGTGTGAAAGTGTCAATTTAGGATTAGGAAAAGGAATATATACACTTATAATTGTTAGCACAACACACGGATTTATGACTTTTTTTTCTGTGGTATGTTATTCAGTGAAATTACTTTTACTTAAGCTTACTTCAAAAACGAGCTAACTTAGGCTGTGTTTGCAGAGACCTGCTGGGGCATAAGCAAATTTAAACAATTTTTGGCTGCTCTGCCAGCTGCAAAGCATTCTTGACACCTTCTGCTTTACCATTCAATTTCCTTATATTATTTATACTTCAACGTAATACAGCTAAAGGGTTAAAAGCGTGACATTAATTTTAAAACTGAGATTAAGCTAGTGAAGCTCCATTAATAGTTTTCTTCAACAGTTTAATTTAGAGATACAGAAGTAAGACAAAATAGCTCTGCACTTACTATCAAGTGCACTTTGAATACAGTGCAAATACACAGGAAAAAAAAAAAAAAAGTCACCCCAAAACTCTATCCTCCCTTGCAAACATGTAAATCAGAGATGATGATGAAGAAATCAAGTGAGTTTCTTCCATGCAAAACCATGATAAAGGAAGAAAAACAGAACCCCAAGCAGGAACATTTTAGCAGTCTGGAACATGGTAACAACAAACCTGCCATCAAGAAATATGAATATTTTATGTTATGAGTTAAGGTTGGAAAAACAAATATCTTTAGAAATCAAAGTAAGGCCTCTGTATAATTAGGAATGTCATCCTTGCAATCAGTTGTGGTGCTTTTTTTTTTTTTCCCCTCATAATTTATTTAAAGTTAGTAGGAATCTATGAGGGAAAAAAAAAAAAAAAGAAAAAGAGGAAATGCATCTATTAGATTTTAAAGAGTCCACGACAAAGAATTTTCAAAGGACTGTAGGACATAGTAGATATGCCTGTCCTCAGAAGGAAAAACTATTTTTTCCTTTCTCCCTCTAACACT